TGGAGCCAGGCCTGATTGAACATGGCGTGCCACTTCTGGAACAGTCTGGGAGTCATGGGGACCTCACGGCAGAGCAGAGAGCGCACAGGTTGTGCAGAGGGATGCGTTTGAGCCCAGCTTCACCCACCACTCGCCGCTGTGTGACCTTGGGCAGGTTCCTTAACAATTCTGAGCCTCGTTTTCCCCGTGAGTATAACGTGGTGACACAGGCACCAGTCCCATGGCATCTGTCAGAGGATGAAGCGCAGTGCCAGGTGGGAGCTGGGCACACACGGCTGCAGAGGCTTGTGCTACCCCACGGAGCGGGTGACACCAAGCCCCCGCCCAGCCACCGTCTGCAAGTTCCCACAGCTCAGAGGACCCTGGAACCCGCCCCAGGCAGGCCGTCCAGAGGGAGCCCTGAGGGCCTGTGTCCACCAGGCTGACCTGAGAGTCTGTGGGCCAGGTGTCCTGGCCACTCTCACAAACCCCTCCCGCGGGGTTAAGTCGAAATGATGAGGTTGACTGGGAGGCTGTGGGAGACGCGGGGGTGGGGGCGCGGGAGAGGAGAGAGGGGAAGGGAGGGAGACACAGACACAGGAGAAGGCATCTTCCCTTCCCTGTGAGGCGTCACCTTCCCCCTGGAAAGCGGCACTTGCCACACTCTGAAAGCACATGCTTGGTAACCCACCCCCGCAGGCCTCCCCCAGGTAAGCCGTGTGTGCGGGAAGTCTTTTTCCGGAGCTGCCGGTAAACCAGCTGGCAAGGCCCGCACGGCCCTCCCGGCTCTCCACGGGCCCGGGGCTGCCAGGCAGCCCCGGGAGCCAGCCCGTGCTCACTGGGAATGGCAGGCTCGGCCTGGAGAGCTCTCCCCGAGATAAACTGGGCCCTGGCCCCCAGCTTCAGCCCCTCCACTGCTCCCTAGGTCCGCAGCCAAACCCAGCGGCAGCAGGGAGACGCCTCCTGCAGAGGGGGAACGAGCTACGACATCTGAAAACCAGCCCGCTCTCCGCTCCTGGACCCCCGGAGAAAGGACAGCGGCCACCCCACTGGCGGCCTGGGCTCTAGGCCTGCCTCTCCGGGAACGGACCACCCTCCTCTGTGCCTCAGTTTCCCTTCAGTAACTGGAAGAGGGCAGACTAGATGGGTTGGAGCACAAACACTCCAGGGCCCGAGGGCCGTGGACAGTGCCGAAGCTAGGCCCCTCCCGGGGGGCAACCTGTGGTCCCGGGAGGATGCGGCCACTGCCACCCCTTCCTCTAACTCCTCCAGAGGTCAGCACCCCAGGCTGCCTGTGGGAGATCTCAAAATTCTTAGATGCTAGCGGCTCAACTGCCTTACTTTAAAGTCCTCTTCTGGCCAAACCAAACATGCCTGTAGACGAGGCCTGGCCCGGAGGCCCGCACGTGACCTCGCAGGCAGGGACTCGCCTGCTGGAATTTCGCACCTGGGCCTCCTGACAGCTCTCTGGTGCTCAGAAGTCCGGCCTGTTTCTGATTCCTCGCCCAGTCCTGGAAGGCACTGGAACCGGTTTGGTGTCAGGTTCCTGATCAGAGACGACTGTGTGTTTATGTGGGACAATGGGAGTAACGGCAGAGGAAGCAAAGTTTCACCTCCCAGACCTCCGAACCAGTTTCTCAGGTTGACGTTCCCAGGGGAGGGGCTGCATTACGACACCACGGGACAGCAGAAAGGGGGCAGGGCCTGCCAGCGCTGTCTTACTTAACCGTCTCGGGGATGGCACCGAGAAGCTAGTGTGTTGCCCAAGACCATGCAGCCAGTCCTGTGGGACTCCACACGGTCGCTCTACAGCCATCGAGGGACAGGGATGGTGGCACCTGGCGAAAATGGAAACACAAGACGCTAGCATCGCTGTGCTGGTTGCCAGTGATTTTAGTTCAGCAGAACCTGAACTAAAGGTGAGGAGTGAAGAAAGGGGAGGGGGATCACAGGCAAGTGTGGAATCCCCTCCCCCCACTCTGCCCAAGGTTCCTCCTTCACCTGCACCCCAGCCCCCAGGCTCCTGGGCTCAAGGGGACCAAGGTCAGGGACAGGGAGTCTGTTCTGCCCTCCTGCTGACCCCACACCCGCCAAGGGCCAGAGAGCGCCCCCGCCAGCTGTCCCTGGAGATGCGCCTGCACCTCCAGGAGGTGGGGGGCACAGGGGCTGTGTGGCCTGAGGTCCTTATGCCTCGACTTTGGTGCTGGTGTGATGGACCCTGGCTGGTGACCTTCCTGGGGCAGGTGGGAGTTGACTTAAGGTTTGTGTGCATCCCTTAGGGATGACGAAGTAGTGGTCCCTCTGCTGCTGAGACCCTCCTTGGAAAAGCCATTACCCGCAGGGCTGTGGGCCAAGGAGCTGCTGGGAGCCAGTCCTGCTGGGGTGAGGAGGAGGGGACAGCCACAAGGAGGGGCACTGGATGACTTCAGGCAAGCTTCTGGATCATTCTGGGCCCCGGATTCCCCACGAGTTCAGAGAGCTGTGCAGACCCGGATTCTACAGCCAAGGCAGGCTCGGCGCCCACACTGGGCAACAAAGACAGTGAAGCCAAGAGGCAGAGGGACATCACAGGTCACCTGGTGCTCAGGCCAGGGCCTCCTAGGCCACAGACAGAGCTCCCCAATCCTTTCTGTCCTCAGGGCTCTTGCTGTCCAAGGGTTTCCTGAAGAGGGGTGCAATTATTATCCCATTGTTCAGAAGAGGCACCAGAGGCCAGGTCCAGCACTGTAGCCCCCACCACCTCCTCACACATGGCCAGGAGAAACTTGAGGTGCCAGGGTTACTGGCTGGGGGCCGGGAGGGGCAAGGTTCCCAGGAAAAGCCAGCAACATCCCATCTGCCCGTCTGGACCTGAAGCATCCTCCCTGTGAAGGAGGTGTAGACCCAGACTCCTAGAAGGCTGGACGGCTCCAGAAACTCCCTAGACAACAGTGTACCGGTGCCAGTTCCACCCAGCTCACACCAGCTGGACCAGCTCTCACCAGCTCGGCCAGCTCACACCAGCTCGATCAGCTCACATCGACTTATACCAGCTCACACCAGTTCACACCACCTCCACTAGCCTGGCCAGTTTGCACCAGCTCAGACCAGCTCACACCAGCTCACGCCACTCCATCAGTTCACACAGCTCCACTAGCTTGACCACTTTATACCAGCTCACACCAGCTAGCCAGAGCTGAGGGTGCATGTCTCCTTGCAAGGCTGTGTTCAGCAACTTCCTGCTAGAAGCTTGAAATCAGCCAGGGTGGGAGAATTTATACCACGGACATTGGCAAGCACTTCAAATTAGATGTTTTTTGGTTGGTTGGTTTTTTTTTCTTTCTTTCTCCTGGAGTGCCGGTTGTTATGCATTTAGCACTGTTTCCAAGGCTCCTGAATTCAAGAAGCTAAAGGCAGCCCCATGCCCTGGAGATATCTGCCAGTCCTCTCTGTCCTCCCGACTACTGATTCTGCCAGACGCTGGGTAAGGGTGGGCACTGGTCCTGGACAGACCTGTTCTCCATCCACCAAAGGAGCTCACAGACCAGCCACACAGAATGTCTTTCAACCCCATGGTGGACATACTGTGCACCCAGCACTGTTCTAGGCACTTGTGAACCACACAAGCAAGGTTGCTGCCCCCTGGAGGCTGCTGCCTAGCCATCACTGAACAAATAACACCAACGTTCAGAAACGGAAATTTCATTAAAATAATACCATCACAAATAATGCACTGAAACCCTGAGAGAGTATGAGAAATGCAACTCAGAGAAAAGAGCATGGAGTAATAGCATCGAACAGAAGGAGCTACTTAAGATAGGGGTGGTGGCTCCGAGGACGTGGCGCTGAGCTGACACCTGACTAATGGGAGCCTGCTATGTCCAGGGAAGGACTTCCAGGAGACGGATGATGGGGCAGGCAAAGGCTGGGAAGTGGGTGGTAGGGGCAGAGAAGGTGGGCATAGCCATGGGAGAAGCGATCTGAGAGGTGAGAGGCTTTCCCTGGGGATCCCCGTGGGTGCAGGATGTCCACGTGGGATGGAGAGCCATGGGCCAGTCATAAGAGGGGCAATGATGGGTCCGCTTTGCTCTCTGACAGTTCACTTTGGTGGCTGGGTGGACCCTAAGCGGGCAAGGGAAGAAGCAGGGAGACTAGAGCGATGGCTGATGCAGGTGTCCTGGTGGGAGATGGTGGTGCAGGAGGTGCTGTGGGGATGGAGGGGTGAGGGTTCGGGTTAGGGGCATATCCTGGAGGAGGAACCATCAGGGCTTGCTGATGAGCAAGAGATTAAGGAGGCTGAGAGTCTGAGAAATGGTGTGCAGTGGTCCCAATCCTGATACATCCTAGTCCTAACAGACAGCAGGCCAGGAGCACAGCTGGGGGCTTTTGGGGCCATCCCAATTCTCCTTCCACCCGGCTCTGCCCTGCACTACAAGGGGCCTCATGCAAGTCTGTGGACTCCAGCCACAGTGTCCCCTCCATATCCCCTGGCAGCCATGCTGGCCTCAAGTGCAGTCCCCCTGCCAGGAGGGCCAGGGAAGGGGCCTGCCCAGGCTGCAGGATGGGCCGGGGCATCCACACCCTAGAAGCGGCTGCAGCCGCTGGGAGAAGCACATCCCCTTGGTCCTTGGGCCCCTTGGCCCTAGGGAGGGCATGGCCTGAGGAGGCCCAGAGCAGGACGCTCTGAAATGAAGGGGACCCAGGCTGCCAGGTCTGGGAGGGTCGGCTAGAGGTGGCACAGTTCACGGAGATGAGAAGGTGCGGCGCCTGGAGCTGGTCGGGGCGCTGAAGTCAGGCTCAGGCTTGCTGAACAGAGATCGCGTGTCTGATCAATCTGCACGACTCGGTGGGCTGTCTCCAAAACGAGGGCACAGGCAGGAAAAGTGATGGAAGGCGGTGTCACCCAGGTTAGAATCTACCCACTTGGTCCTTCCTTTCACAAGTTGGGGGCCAGGAGTGAGCGGCCAAGGTGGCTCCAAGGGGGAACAAGGCTCGGGCCCACCCCTCCAGCGCCAGGCCCTCTCCTGTGAGCGTGGCCCTCTGGATGTCCTTCTCAGAGCAGCAGGGGCCTCTGGACGTGACCTCACCTTCACAAAGACCCAGGGGACCGGAGGAGGCCAAAGCACAGACAGGGAGGGCAGGGAGGCCTCAGCGGTCATCCCGGGGAGAGGCGATGGTGGCACGGACTAGGGTGGGCACCGGAGACGGGGACAGAGCCTCTGGATCCCTGAAGAGCCGGGACTGTGGCATAGTCACCCCTTTGTCCCCAGTGACCAGTGGAGAGAGACACTGGAGACCACATTCACTGCAGAAAGAGACTCAGGCCTGATTCAGTGACATCCCCCTGCACTGCCTTCACCAAGGGCAACAAAGTGGCTTAAAGAAGGATGATGATGACATAATGGCCAGTGTTTCCTGACGCTGCCTATGAGCCAGGCTCTGAGCTTCATATCTTCCCTCCATTACCTCATTGGTCCCGTTTTACAGATGGTGTGACCTGGGCTCAGAGAGGGGAAGTGACTTTCCCAAGGCCACAAAGCTAACAAGACGGAGCCAGGAGGAACTCATCTCAGGCCTGGAAACCTGGGCTCCTATCACTGCCCAGGCCGTCTCCAGGTCAGTGGGAGCAGCAGAGGAGCTGAGAGGACAGGGCGCCTCTTGGGAAAGAGATGGGCATTCCTTGTGCGACATAGTGGAACAGGGTGGGGGGCTGCTCCCTCTGACGCAACCCAGAGCCCAGCCCTGCCGTGCGCCTGCCGCCAACAGCCCACATAGGGACCCAGGCAGATTTAAGCTTCCAGTACCGTGTGCGCCAGGGAAGAAGCAAAGCAGGCAGAGTCCCCCATCTCGAGGAAACTGGGGAACAGCTCCATGTCAAAGGAGGAAGCAAAATCTAGCAGGACTGAGGGCAAACATCTGCAGGCTGCCCACCTCTCCCACGGTGGGCGTGCAGCTCGGGGGCCAGCCACGGACCCACTTGAGCTGGACTGGTGTCATGCACCCCACGTGGGCTCCAGCTGATGGGGTATGACGGAAGGGGTCTCAGAAGAGGCCCCAGGATCACATTACTCCTGAATCCCACCAAAGCTCCTGAAGGATGCTCAGCACTGTGATCTCAGAGGACACTGTTTCCCAAGCACTGGGGCCCTGCCACCTCCTCCTCAACGTGGCTCACACATCCTTCCTGATACCCACTGCCCAGTGTCTGAGACCACTCTGTCCCCGTGAGGGATCTCCACCATAGCAATTCCCCCCTGGATGGAACCCCAGCTCCTAGTTCTGCCCTCTGGACCCCACAGCCCTGCCTACTTCCTGGTCCCCAGGACGGCACTTGGTGGTCTGGAACAGCCACCATGCCCTCCCTAAACCTTGTCTTCTCCAGACCGAGCCCCACCACCCCCATTGCCAAAAAAAAGCCACAGTTAGCCCCCTCCCTGTATGCCTGCCCCTTTGCAATAGTCCTCTCAAGACCATTCAAGGGGTGGAACTATTTCCCGAACTCTTGAACAGAAGCTGGTCTTATACCTGCTTTGGTCAGTAAGATGTACAGAAGTGATGCTATGTGGGTTTCAAGCCCAATCCTGTAGCTCTGTTTATTTCCATTCTTTCTCAAACCTCTATCCAGCTGCCATGTGTACAAGCCAGGGCCAGCCTTCTGTGGAATTGAGGGACAAGGGGTCCAGGAGCCCCTCTGCCCCAGCAGAAGAGATGCCTAGAGGGCCGGCTGCTGACCACAGACGCACGAGGGAGCCTGGCTGAAGATAGAAGCCCCACCCAAGCTACGCCCAACTCACACTGTCCAGCCTCAGAAGCATAAGCTAAATGAATGGTTGTTGTTTTAAGTCCCTATATTTCAGGGCCATTTGTTTTATAGCAAAAGCTAACCGATACATCACCATCCCTATTCCTTCCGTGGTTTGCCCTGCAGAGGGTACTACTCTCAGCTCTCCAGATTCCTGCGCTAGACTTCCTTGAGACATGACGTCAGTTTTAGAAGGTCCCCCATAGAGTGGAGACGATGGCCTCTGCTGGCCTCTCTTGAAGCGCCACCTGGAGCACAGTGCCCCACCCACCCTGTTTCTCAAAGTCTCCCCAGTCTCCCATTCCAGGACTTTTCATGGGTCATCTGAAATCCTCCACCTGGCTGTTCACACACTTGAGTTCACCCTGAAGTCTCAATCAGATGCCGCTTCCTCCAGGAAGCCAGTCTAACCCCTCATCTGTGTCACTGCCCTCCTCTGTCTCTGTGCCCCTGCACACTTCCTCCATGAGGAACAGCATCTCCTGGTCACCTGGCCACCTCCCCCTAGAACAGAAGCCCAGTGAGGGCAGAGGGCGTGTCTCCTTCAACTCTGAGTGCTCAGAGTCTAGAAGAGCCCCTGGAGGGGTAAGTGCTCAGAAAAACTGGCCGAGGGAGCGATGTGGAGAAGGGTGGGGGTATCACTGTCTTAGGTTGGTAAGGGCTTCTGGCTAATGGTACCTGTAGGTGCTTCAGAATCAGGTCTGATTACATGAGACCAGTCTGGAAACAGAACCTTGCGCGGGATCCTTCCAACCTCCCACTGGCTTATTCCTGCATGTGCCTGTGCTGTCAACTACAGATGTGCCAGCTCCAAAGCCCCTTGACGGGCCGTTCCCCGCAGTCCTTCCCCACGTGCCCGGGACCCTCTGCGGGCCCCTCCTACCCGAGGCTGGAGGGCCGTCCCATGCTCACTCCATTGACTTGAGCACGCAGATTTCAGGAGACACAGTGAATGCCCAGGTCGTGCCCAGGAAGAGCAGGCTCTCCGCAAAGTAACACCACCCCTCTCGGCAGAGCTGGCGAGGAAACAGATCCATCTTGCAGGTGGGCAAACAGGTTTAGAAACAGCGAGTGCTTGCCTAAGGCCAATCAGAAACGGCAGAGCTGGGACATCAGAATTAGGGTGCCCACGATTCTCCCCAGTACAACAACCATTAGTTTTCACCTCAAACAAAATAACATGCATCGCATTACAGAAACAGCTCTGCATCCTGGACCCTGGGCGAGGGAAGTTTTACCTGGAGGATCCCACACTCAAACGCAGCAGCGCCCTCTGGTAGAAGAGGAAACCAGGGCTCGGGGGAGGGGCGGGCTGTTCCCAGCATCACCGGCTACCAAGGGCAGACCTGGAGAAGTCCCTTGATGCCACTCGGCCGCCGGCACGTTCCCCGGATGCTGCTCGCCCTGTCGACAGATTTATGGCTCCATCCTTCAAAGCACACTCAAGCGGGGTTTATTACATAATAGAAAACAAAGGTAGTTTTTTCCTATGTTTCCCACTCAGGGAGTTTTATTAAAATGCAATAAAGCTCCAGGACAGAGTGTGACTTTAATGCACAGGGCAGGACATCTAGCTCAGTTCTTCCTCAGACTCGGGGGGGAGGAGGGAGGCTAGGGGGGATGCAAATGGGGGGAAAGAATGCACATTCTGGGTCCCACCCACCCCAGACTCAGCCCCTCCCAGCAGCCAGGAGGAAGGGGACTTGCACTCAGCTGGCTCCTGGAGGGCAGGAGGAATCAGGCTTTGCGGTCCAAGCACCTTGTGGAGTAGCGCCTGCCCCTCTCCGTGGTTCTGCTAAACCACTCAACCACACCTCCCCGCACCCAGCCGGCTCGCTGTCCCCTCCCAACGCCGCAGCCACATGCTTGCTCTAATCCGCAAGCCCACGCGGAGTGCCCCCTGTAAGACAGCGTTCAACGCCCTTGGACTGGCCCCAAGGTGTCCTTGGTCCAACCCCTCACCTGCATGTTTTCCCACCATCCTCTGCCCACCTCCCATTTTAGCCACTCCAGATTTCTTAGGATTCCTCCCATGCCAGGCTGGTTCATGCCTCCGTGTTTTTGCACCGCATGCTTCCTCTGACTGGAATGTCTTTCCCTTGCCTGGCAACCTGGGAAACTTCTGTTCATCCTTCAAAGCCCAGTTCAGCCATCACCTCCTCTGAAACATCCAATTACCTTTTCCTAAACAGATGTTGGTCCTTCCTTCAGTCCCTTCCTCTCTGACAAGGTTGGTCTCA